CTGGGAAAAGAATTGCATTCATGGCTATAGCTCAGTTGTGGATGACGTTTTCTGAATGCTGCTATGCTGTCCTGGGCATACTAAACCATCAGATGTATATTGTCCACTTACCCCTTTCTAAACTTGATGATAATTGCAGCTACTTGCTACGGAGCTGCTGTATCATGTATATAGATGGCTTTTGCTCATATACGAAAGTGCAATACCCACCCACTTCTGGATTGGGATGGTAGCCATAAAGTAGGTGTACCCTTGCTCCAGAGCTCATGCTAAACTGTTGCACAGGAATATGAAAACGGCCTTTGATGTCCTGAAGTTAGGACACACTACCAGTTGCTAGTGATAAAACCACCCAAGACCACCAAGACAGCAACACGCTTCAGCGTGGAATATGAAAAAATGACTTGTGTTTGTGTTCAGAACTCACAGCAGTATCTCTCAAATAAGAAGAGTCAAATTGCTGGTACCACAGTGTAGATAATAGTATCTCCTTCTGTGTGGTTCTCAGTGACATTTCCAATGTTATCTTGTCCTTTCTGAACATCAGAAGTCACAAATAGTTGCAACAGATTGCAACTGGTATGCAGTGACAGGGACACCTGAGATACTCTGAAACAATTGTTAAGACTGAGATATGGCTGTTGCTTGCAGCCATGTACCCTGGTGAGGACAGCCTGGGCAGCTACCCAAGAGACCAGTGCAGATATTGTCTTGGTGCCTTCTCTGCAGTATGAGAGTCCATGGAGAGACAGCAGAATTTAGTGTGGTCTTAAATTAAAACTGGTATGTGTCAGAATAATTGACTAGTCTATTCCCCTATGCATATCTCTTGTCATCTCTCTGGGATATGTTGTTAGTTTCTGCTGGCACCTGGGAAAAAGATGAGGGAGGGTTCCCCAGCCAGCTTCAGTGGGACAAAATGATGTCACATATAGACATGCCTATAGCACTGGGTTAGTGGTTGGTCAGCAGTATCTTGGGCCAATATGTAAATAGTTACTAGGCACATTTAGGTTGCCAGCTAATCCTGTGTTTAACGCTCTCTGGCAATGTCAGAGCTGAGACCCTGGGAGGGGATGACTTCCACATCATGCTCCATTGGGGTGCCCTGCAGCTGTAATGTGGAGATGGACCACCCTGGTCATGACTACATGCTTTATCCTTTATTTATGAGAGTATTGTGGGAGGTTCCTCTGCAGAGAAGTGGCATTCCCTTGGGTCACCCTGACTGCTGGGTTCCTGTGCATTATTGCACCAAGGGAGCCTGCACCAGGGTTACCAACCAGATCGCTTTCACGATATCCTTCATGTTCAAAGTCAAGACAAAGTGAACTGTCTGAGAATTTGCCCTGAAGTGAGGTCCTGCAGGATGATACAGAGACAGCTATAAAACCTTTGATCTTTCTGTTACAACTGTTGGAGTGCTGCACTGAAGCATGCCCCTCTGAAGTGCTCTGTTTCCTGTCATCTCTGCAAAAGGAAGCTGCACCAGCCCTCAGATTCCTGCACCCCCTGCACCAGGATGCTGTTCTGCGCTGCCACCAGTGGGAGCTTGGCAGTGACTTCAATGCAACCAGATGTCTATGCAGGGTCTCCCATTGTGCTTTGTCCTGTTATCGGAGACATAAAAGGAATAAGGCACTTCTTACATTCCCCTACATGATCCAGAGCAACAGCTCCCTGTGTGTTTTTTTTTTTGTTTTTTTTTTTGTTTTTTTTTAAGGGAGAAGGGAATGAAGGTGTGTCTAGTATAATAAATTGTAGGACTTTTTGTTTTGATTAAAGCCATTGTGGAACTACTGTTTGTGTTTTTTGCAGTCACATTCCTACAACTACACTCACAATAGAAGGCAGCTGATTTTTAAGAAGAAAGGAAGACTTGACAAAAGGTTACAGTAAAGCAAGAAAAGGTGACAAAATTGATAAAGTATGCCCTTATAAAATTATCAGCTTTAATCTTTACTTTGATATAAACCTGGTTTTGGTTTCTAGCTGCAGGCTAAATACTGTTGCAATGTTAATATGCTTTCTCAAATGCAATGACAAGGTGAAAGAAAAACAATTCAAATATACATATCAAAACTAACCATGTTTTCTTATAAGAAAAAAAGTATATTTTGTCTCTGGAGAAATGCCATATTCATGCCTAAAGCATAAAATACAGTGAAGGAATAGATGGCAGTGTTAAAAACATGCAGATGAGCTCCAGAAACTTCTAAGGGCATTAGCATAGCTGGCTGCAAAGAAGGTACTATTTATCTTAGGAATCACTGGGTAATGTGTAACATATACAGAAAAGAGAGGTACAAGGTCAACTCTCATATGCTTACGAGCCTTGGTAGTTTGGAATTGGAAGTATTTTTTATGAGGCCCTCTGCCATCTAACTGACAGGAAAAAATACTGTAGCAAACAAATTCTTTCAACCTTTCTTTTTCTCTCTCATTTTCTGTGTAAGAAAGCAAGATATTTTCTACTTTTTTTTTTTTTATCTTGAGAATGTCTGAAAACTAAGAATAGATGAAAGAGAGAAATACTAACCAGCTTCTTCCAGAAAAATTCCTGTGTCTATAGATTCATATATTTTAGGGTTTCAAAGGAACATTATGATTATCTAGTCAGAACTGCCTGACAGGCTGTAAAACCTCACCAAGTAATCTCTCCATCAAGCACATAACATCTGTTTGAGTAATTGTATACGTCTTAGAGAGATACCTAGTCATGATTTAAGGGCTGCAAGTGATGAAGTTCTGCAGTCCTTACTCAGGATTTGACTCAGTGAAAACATTGGCATATTATGCTCTGTGTCTGTTAGGTTTGGAGGAACAGAAAGAAATACCTGGCTTTAAATAGAGTCTTGTTTGAAATCTGTATGAATAAACTCTACAGAATTTAAAACAAACAAAAAGAGAAACCATCATAAGAATACCTGTGCACCACCTTCTCTTTTGTAAGGACACAAAGCCATATTATTCTGTCCTTTTCCTTGGGATTTTCAGAGATCATTGACGGAAAAGATAAATTGTGAATGTGGATCTCTTTGGGTTTTGACTCATTTACTTTTCTAATTCAGTGACCTATAGGAACAGTCTCCAGTCCTCCGTATGATGAATTGTTCTTAATTTACAGTCTAGTCTTTTTTTATGTGTGGTAATTCCCCACCTTCAGTATAATTTTAAAGACACTAATGTCAAGAGAATTACAGCAGAGACAGCAGCTTTAAATAGTGAGATAAGTTCTCTCACAAGTGTCATAGGAATTCAAACTTCCTTACACTAACAGGACTTCAGGTGTTCAGACTTGACACCGTGGCAAAATAGTGACTAAACTGTTCACTTACTGAGAAATACCACAAAAACATACAAGCTCTGTGGCAGAAATAAGGACTAACTGGAATTCTGATCAGCATAATAGTATCTGTGATCAAGAAACATGATAAATATATATTTATGTGCCAAAATACCAAAAGATGGCATTTTCTGAACAGATGAGGATACAGTATGTTCACAGATCATGTCGGGCTGTGAACCTATGCTTGTATGCACCCTTAAAGTACACACTGCTGGAATTTACTTGTCCTCTTTCAGAAACATTAATAAATAGTAGAAAAATATTTCATAATACAATAACATTCTTGTTTTCTGTGGTAGTGAACATTATGCATACATAAACATGCAAAATATGGTAGCTTTTCTCTTTGAAATAACAAATGATTCCAATATTTATTTGCACCATCTGATACAAGAATAGATTTTGCTTACGTCCAGTGGCGTCCTGCTATTGCTTGAATTGACTGTCACACTGAAGGTCGTGGAGTGACTCGATGCCAATACAAACAGATGAAGTACTGGGAAACCACTTCTAAAAAATCTTACCTTACTGAAAGCAAGCACCATCTCCTGAAAAGTATAAACTTTGAAAAGAGAAGCATCAGTCATGGCTTCTCAAATCATCTTTTGAAGTTAAAGTAACAGAAAAATCAGTCATAATATTTGCACACCTAAATAAAACAAGCTAGGATTTTACTTCCGGGCTTAAAACATTTTAGTCCATTTTCCTAGTCAGATTAAGACTTCCTGTGTGACAGTGGATGAATTGTTTGTGACAAGGATTTGAAGGTATCTAAATGCCTAGATGTATATTTAGAAGTGCATTGGGGCATTTGCTAGATTCTCATAACTAACAGGCACTGAAAATGAGCGCATATCTGCCTTTAAAATGATCTTTAAGTGTTTTGCCCAAGCGTGAGTCTGTGGATGACCAGGGCTTCACAGGCTCATGAATCTGTGCTATGATAAACAATGAAATTCAGAATTATTTTCACTTTACATTTTGTTGATAATGTAGTAGGGTGCTCATGAAACCTTTGAGAACTGACAGTTCTGACAGTCTACTCTGGGAGAGTAGACTCTGTTCTCCTTTGTAATATGAGAATAATTGTACCTTCACTAGAAGCTGTCAAATGAACACAGGACACATTGTAAGACAGTCATATCATGTCATAATGTAGCCATATTTCAAGCTTGAGTTAAGACACAGAAAAGAAAATATCCACTTCCTGCATAAAGAATCGATGTTTGTTCTGTAACCTGTTCTCCCTATTTCCACAGTTCATCAGAGGTGGGAGAAAGAATGCATCTTAATTCTTATACAAAGATATAAATTAGGTAGGGGGGAGTCCTTACACAAAAATTGATATTGTATAAGGAGCAGAAATTGCAAAACGGAGTGTTGCTCAGTACCGCCTGGAAGTTTCTTAGCACGTCAGAATCAGGGCAGAATTTTTATATTTGTTTCAGGCCTGATTCTGCAATACTAAATTAAATGACTCATCTAAATTTATGAAGAATTCCCTTGAAATCAAGGGGACTAATTACACAAAAATCGTTCAGGATAGAAAAGCAGCAGTGAGGTCCTAAGAGAGCACAGCTACATGCTCTTTAGGCAATTGAAAAAGCTCTTTCTACAATGCACACCGTGTATATATGAATAAACCAACTGCTGACAGGAAGGCACTATTGATGTTTATTAAACATGATGGCTCAGAAGCAGTGTCCGGCTCAAGGAATCCATTGGTTTGAGGAGCCTGGAAGGGATATCAGGGAAAAACAATTTAAACATATATGCTTATGATCCTTCATAAGCGTTTACTATGAGCAACCATCAGAGGTGAGATAATGTAGAAGGTGGTTACTCTGACAGTTACTATATAGTCCAATGCTTGACTGTCACAGATTCCATTGCACATATGACAAATTATATTACAGAGAGAAAAGGACATTCTCAGATTTTTAGATCATAAACTTCAACATTTACATTTGTAATTTTTTACCTGCCACAGTGGAGCAGGAAGATATGATTACTGAGGATCTTTATGCTGACAAAGTAGATAGTGCATATAATATGAGATTGCTGTATGCCATTTAACAGTTTAGCTTTGCTACACTTTTTAGTTTTATAGAAATACATTTATTCTTTGTACTAAGAGGCAAAACTCATTTCTGCTTCAAATTATTCAACTATGGTTAGTCCACTTCAATTATTGCATATAAAAGTATATTTTTCTTTTCTTCAATCAAACTGGCAAAGATCACTTAGAACATTCAACTAGAACGGTCTCAATAAAAACTAATCAAAAGCTCCTGTGAGTTTGAGCATGGGATCTGGTAAACTCAATAACAAATAAAACATAATTCTAAACATTCATGTTTACAAAAAAGATTACAAAATCAGAACAATAAGTTAATAAACTGAAATAGTTATCTACTTTTCAGATATAAAAATCCCAGCAACTTTATATGTCACTATAGCAGACATGACAAAATTGTGAATAATGCTATCCACTGTTATAAGTGGTACTTCAAGATTTCTGATAGAAAACTTATATTTTAATTTTCTGTTCATATATAGCCAAAAGTAGGAGGCAAAGCCAGCCTAATAGTAATCCAAGGTTCTGTAGGAGAAACATCAACCAGGGTCGCCGCGTCTGAATATGAGTCATTTCAGGAAGCTAAAAAAAGAATAAGACACCAGAATGAGATCCAGATATATTAATCTCTGGGAAAAAAAGTCTTATGGGAAAACAAGGCAAACTTCATTAAAAAAAACTTTTAAAATGTTGAGTTTCTGAATATAACTATTAATCTGTACCATGTTCTATACATTGTAACAATGCCAATCTTGACAGTGAACTATTTAAATTAATCAAATTCTACCCATTTTGATTCTTTTACTAATATCAATGAGAATTATGAATGAGATTCCAAAATTTGTTAACTTCTTACTGGTTTTTAGTAATTTTATACAGCTGTCTGTAAGAAATTAGTGATTCCCTTTCGTGGGAATAAACTACTTTGAGATTTTTTTTCAGTACTATATATAGGGTCAATTCTGCTCTTACTGAAATAATTGGCAACATTCCCATTTACTTGTGCTTTAGTAAACATAGAAGTAGAAAAAAGTATTTTTTAAATATGATTGAAAAATTTAAATTTAATATTTTTCTCTGTGAGTTTTAATTTATGTAAAGTTGCATCAGCTGTTTATAACCATATTAAAGGCTACTTATGCTGACCTTCCACCCTACATGGTCTCTTTTATCAAAGTTTTAAACAAAATGTTTGTCCTAACAGAGTCTGTGAAAATGATGCCTCAGGCTCAGACTTTCTTAGTATTTATGCTTTATATATTAGAGACAGAAGGGGAGACACTTAAGACTGCTGATAGTTTCACATCTACTTTCTGAATAAATATAGAGCAATGACCTGGTACTGACCTTTGGTTTTGGTTGTGGTTTTTTTGTCTATTTGTTGTGAACTTCAAAACAAGAGTGAGTGGTCCTGACACTCTAACATTATCCCTTCCTGCTCCACTCACAGACTGCGCCTCAATGAAGCTACTTATTTCCTCTCCTCCTGAGAGCCTCCTCATGGGAGCTGTAACACCATCAGCCACTGGGAGACAGTGGAGTGGTGATGACCAAGGAGATTAACAGGGTATGTTTACATCTATTTGCTATGCTTGTCCTTCTCTCTGTGAGAAGGGGGTCTCTGGGTCTGCTTTTCCTGCACTCTTCTTTCTCTGGAAGTTGGCATGGGCCCAAAATAAAACTATAGTGAAAAAAAATCTGCCTCTGCTTTAAAGTTTTGCATAAAAATAACAGACAAACCCAAACATCCTGGATCTTCGTAACAATTAGGTAGTGGTTGAAATTATGGTACAAATTCACATCTTAGAAATTTGTGTATTTATATTTAATTCTGTATTTAAGGATCATCAGAAACTTTTCATCTAAAGCAAATGTAAACACCTCAAAGTTCTGATGTAAATCAAAATCTGAACTGACAGCTTGCAAGTGTTTGTAGCACGTCATTTTTGTTGTGTATATAAGTAAAAACTGTTAATTAAGAATTATGCCTGAATCCAGGACTCCAATATAGACCATTGGTCTTTCTTATTTATCCTTATAATCAGTTTAGTTTGTCTTCTTCCCAGCGCTTGAGTCAACAAGTTCTCTAAATAGGAAACTTCTTCCTCTCCCACTGTAAAAAGTAATATATTCTGTTATTGCTGTCAGTGCCAGTGTATGAGTTACAAACATGCACAGTAGGTTCCTAAGAAAGGTTTAAAAAAGAATTCTCAGCAGGTAGTACCCTTCCTATGTCCAATGCAGACATCTGCTCCCTCCACCTAACATATGTGCATGTTATCAAATGCACAGATCATATCTATAGCCTTACTTACTGTGACATCCCTGCTTATTTCTGAAAACAAAAGCTGATTGCTGAGACAGTATCATCTATAGTTCCCCAGCTCTCTCTGAACACAAATGTGTGGTACAGCAGAAAAAATCTTGTTGTTTAGGAAGCCTGTTCAACTGGCAGATGCAAAACACATCACAAATTAAGGGAATACAGTGCCACATCCAAGCTGTTGGATGCCATCACTCTTGCTAACTCTTGAAGTCTGTTGGAGGCAAAAGAGTTACTGTTAGTCAAGGGACTACTCTGTTCTTGCTCCAGCTCATATTATCATGAACACACAAAGGATATGAAGAATTAGGAAGTGACATGCTGAAAGAATGCATGAGGGGCTCTCAACAATGTGCTGGCTAAACAAGAGTTCTACCACCCTGGGGCACAAATGGCATGACTGCTGCGCTGCAAGAGCCCAAAAAGTCACTTTAAAATACTCCTTTATCTCCAAAATCAAAAAGATTTTTAAGGTTAGTCAGAGAAAACATCAGTTATTTTCCTCAGGGAGTGCTGGGCTAGCTCTTATTTCTTGATATCCTTATTGTCTTTCTTGCTTCTATCTCCTTCCTTTCAAATTAGACAGCAACTCTGGTCAGGAACCACATAAACCAATATGATCTGTACAATCACTTAGAAGTGATGTCTCAGTCCTTGGGGTTTAATACAATGCATGTGATTTCGCAAGTATTTATCCATAATGATAACTTCATAGATACTCATTTAAAAGGCTGACAGAGGATTTTCAAGTTTGTTTCCCAAAAGGAAAAGGGCATATGTTTTGTCAAAGAAACAATTCATTGGGAGTTGACCTGTTCCATTCCATATACTGGTGTCTCAAGTTTCATTCAGATTAAAGGTATGTTATTAATTAAAAGATCTTTGGAAACAGTGCAAAGTTATGATTATACTTATGACCTCTAAATGGATACCAAGTACAAAAATGTCACTGTATTGCTTATAAAAAGCTGGTTTTCCAGGGATTTAATTTTGGTTAGACAACAACTAAACCCACAATATTACAGGTGTTTACTCACATGTATATCTAGAAACAACAATCTACATTGCAATATTACACCTGTGAAACACATTTGCAAGACAAAATACTCCTCCCTTCCACCTTCCCCAATTACTGGGAAGATGAAGTTTTGCAGAATTCCTTGGTGAAAAATGATGAAGGATATAAATAGTTTTATCTTTTGTCCTTTTCCTCAAATTTCTAAAATGATTAGTCTACTCTGCTTGTTAATGGTGCTAGAATGCCATTTGCAGAAAAGAAAAAACTTGAATTTACCACAGAAATAGTTTTGCGCAACCTTGACTGCAATAGCAGTCTCACAGTGCTGTCCTGTTAATGAACCTCCACTTCATACCCCTGTATGTTCCCCAATGCAGAAACCAGTGAGGCTGCTCAGTTTTATTTAGCTGCTGCTCTCTTATTTCACTGCTGCTCTGACAAGCACATGAATATGTGAAAGCCCATAAAAAAAATAGTGAAAATTATAGTTAAGCTTTGTACACCATTAAATATTTATACACCATTGGCAGGAACACTGATGATTGCTGCTTGTATATGAGAATGCAGCAGAGAATAGAAGTGATTTCTGTGTAGAAAGATTAAAAATACATAAAGAATGGCAGATTTTTTTTTTTAGATGTACTATACAAAAATATGAATCTTTTCAGATCTATAGATTTCTTCAGTGGTATAGGAATATTTTTTTAAATAAAATAATCCCTGTGATATTCAACACTTGCACTTCTGACAAACATCGGTGAGCAACCCAATGGCAGTTCTGACAAAATGCAGAGAAAGGCTGATTAGAATCCTACTAACAAAAGGAAGGTGAGAGAAATGAGATCCTCCCCTCTCCCTCCCTTCTTTCTCCTCTTCACACCAAGAACAAGATTATGGTGACAAGCTGAGAACAAGGGAAAAGATGTCCCTGTCTCTGCCTGGAACTATGTTATCTCTTGGGATTTACAGCTAGCACAATTGCTTTGAAGACTTGGGGAAAAACATGGTGTTGTTCTAGGAGCTTGAGGATCCTGGATGGATTCTTAGCCACATTAGTAAAATCATGCCTATTGAGTAGGGAGGTAGCCTCACTTCCAAATTTCTCTGTGTCAGAACAAGATGCAACTTTGTACACATTATTCTTGTATGTTATTTACCACCTCAGTCAGGACTGTTGACACATCCACAGTCCTTAGGCTGTTCCCTCATAAACTCTTAGGAGCACTTTATGTTCACTTTACTTTTGTTACAGTAGCAAAATCAGACTAGAATATACCCAAGGTCTAAGGTCAATTATTACAAGTAGATTTTTAAATAGGTTATATTACTGGCATGGCATATCAGGTTTAAAGTGCTATGCTTGAACCTGGTAAATGAAATCTCAGGCATGAGGAGAGGGGTGGTAGTGACAACACAGAGACAACCAGACTTGGAAAAACAGAGTAATAATTTCTGAAGAGGGAGATCTCCTTTTTTTTCCATCTTCATCTAATCACCCAAAATATTCCATCTTTGTTCAGAAGCCTGAAAGCAACTTTACATTAACACACTCAGTTAAAGAGCCATGTGACAAAGTTGTCAGGGTAATTAAGTTCTGCATTGTTACAAGTGTTAACAGTTAGCCATCTCTTCAATAAATGATGTGGCCTGAGGCATCTGCATGAGTTATGATTCTACCACATTCTTCTACAGTCCTTAGACCTTCCTCCTACTGTGTATCTTCACACTTTATTTTTCTATAGGCTGATCTTTGCTGTTGAACTGGGATTATGAACAACATTGGGCAAATATGAAAAAATTGCAGCAATCTGATGGATTTTTAATTGCTTAGGAGCTCAGCCAAACCTCTCTGAGATACAAAGGCTGGACAGGAAGAGCACAGGATAAGCATCTTGCATTTTAGTTCAGAAAGAGCAAATTCATGTAGAAACAATGGATGAACAAGGATATAAAGAAAAGGTCAGTAAGAAGAAAAAATGTAACCAACTTCTTCAAAAATTTAAAATCCCTGCAGGTTCAAATGTTTCTTTATGTTGTACTAAGTAAGTCTATCAGCCCTAAAAAATATATTGTTTACCTTCCCCCCTTCAGAAGTCCTTTATGCCTTTCTTATATATTACACTCTTATTGGCCTTTGTTCTACCTCTTTATTACAAATTATACCTAGTATGTCAGTGACATGAAACAAAACCAGACTATTGTTCTAAGCACTATACACACACAGGGTAGACAATGTGCTCTTCCCAAGAAGCCTATGGACTCTTTTTCCCTTTAAGTTCATCCACCTACATTTGTCTGACATTCATCTGTGATGTGGCTACGTTAAAAGGAAAATATAATAATAGGCTGAAGTTCTCACCATTTCTGCTAAAGATAAATACAAGAACATTCCAGCTGTAACAGTAAAAATCCAGTTTTGAATGCATGAGTCTGTTGATACAGAAAGGCCAATATAAAGTCCTAAGAATGCTGTTAGTGCACTTATAAAATTCATCAAAATTGCAATCTTCGTGGGGAGCCCTGTACTTAGCAGCACAGCAAAATCTCCTGCACAGAGAAAAAGACAGAAAATTTATTATTTAGCTGATAAATGTATTTGTAAGACTCTTGGTAATAAAGCATGAGGAAAAATACTTAAGATATGTACGAAGATAGTGAATGATGGAGGACTGCCCTTAGTTTTCTGTAGAATTAGTTATAAATGCATCCTGTGTGGAAAAACAAAACCAAAAAGCCCATATTGACTTGTATTTGTTTAGCTGTTCCTAAAGATAGCATACAGTATACAGGAGTGGCTTTCTGTTAGTTCTCAATGTTCTGTGACATTTCCAACTTGGATACATGCAAAAGTGAAGTCATGTGCTTTCCCAGAGTTTCTAAATCTTTTTCGACTGGGAACCTGCCAGTTCAAATCATGTGAGTATATTTGCAGCATGGTCTCTGAGTGTTTTACAGGTGCTGCAATTTAGAAAAACCTATGTCAGTCTGATTCCAGTTGAGTTTAATTCCACTGATTTCACACCTAATTAACTTTGGTAAACTGTATATCAGAATCCCATCACAGATTTTACTTCTAAAATAAATTATTTCATAACAAGTCCACAGTAAAAGATTTAAAAAAATATTATCTGTGAGTGTAGAAATCCCACTTTGACTCTGTGGCACTACCACCCCAGAATTAAGAAGGTCTGTCTTTGGAGTTAACTGCTCAGTATTTTGGTAACTTCTTTCCTATGCAAACAAGAGTTACAAGTTTTACAGCAAGTCCCCATCCCACCTTTTTGGTTGGGGAAGTTTTCTACATAGACAGCACATGAAATCTTCAGTCATTTAAGAATAGAAATGAGAATCTGTAGTTCTCATCTCAAACTTGCCAGTTTATATATGTTCATCAACACAATGTCAGGAACAACTTAAGCCCTGCTGAAAGATTTACCACAAGGAGATAATTGAGGGCAATGTTCAATAGAACGATCTTCCTGTCCTGTCTGCTAGTAAAATGGGTCACACATCTTCTTTTATTATCTTGTTATTCTCAATTAGCAGCAGGAATGAGGGTAGTATGAGGAATACGCTGTTAAATGGCTCTGTTGTATATTAAAACTCTTGGATAGCCTGTTGTGTCAGGTATGTCCGTTATGTATGTGTGGCTCTTGCTCACAGCTTACTATTCTTTATGTCTGTACACACGAGAATAACGGGTCACTCTTGACCTGATGGCATTTACATTTGGAGAAGGTGTAATGGGATTACATCCAGTAATGAGGGCAGAAGCCTCCCCTTCTTTTTGTGAAGGGGAAAGAGAATAAAACAGCCTCTTTAGATATCTATCTCACATATTAATGTTATAGTTCATGATGCTATAAATAAGAAGAATTCTCAGTAATGCCTTACAGGAAAGAATTCTTTGGGAAACCTGGAACTACAAAGCCAATCAGAAAAAATACACATATATATTTCTTACCCATTTCATGAGGAATTTCATGGCATAAAATAGCAATAGTCGTTGTCACACCTGTTTCTGTTGAGGATGAGAACGCTGCTCCTACTACCAAGCCATCAGCAAAATTGTGAAGACTGTCACCCACCAAAACCATTATTGCTAACAAGCTAATTTTCTTACCTAGGAAAAAACAAACAAATAAACAAACCAACAAAAATAACAAAAAAAGTCCAGAAGTTTTAACACAAACAGATATTGTAAATTTTGCTATGTTATAAATTATTTGGGGTTTTTCACATACAACATTATGAATAGTCATAGTAATCAGAAGAAAATAGTGTTTATCTGTTTTGTTATTATAGTTCTTTCAATTCACTTGATACGAAAAAGTAGACTGTAGAATAATTCAGAGATGCAAATACCAGGAAGTAGCTGCTTTATTTTCACTAGGTCAACTTTTAGACAAAAACTTAGAGTTTGGTTTGACTCCAGTCTCCTATGTCCTAAAGGTTTCCATTCATCTTTCCTTTGTTGCTGAAATTCACAAAAGTTTTCTTGCATTCTAGGTGTTGAGTTTTTTTGCTTAAAAGCTGGGAGTTTTTCCATTGTCATTCACAGAATTGCACAGATATAATGAAGATGAATATTTAGTCTCATGCAGCTGATCATTTTAGTACTGTAAAGCATGTTACTACTGAGTAATGTTTTCAGGAGCTGTTTCTTATGAGATTGTGTTACAGTGAAGATAGAGATAAAATGCACCAAGCCTGAGTATCACTGTCAGTACAGCGTTACATCATGCTCATTTCCAACTTTTGTTTCAATCAATGGCCACTGTGCTCTTAGTACTCCCGTCTGCAGCATCACTCATAGATGCAGATGTCTGTTTTTCTTTCCCATATTGTTCTGTGACCTTGTTTTCGTGTGAGACAGTGCATCGAATCTTCATGATCAGGCATCTGATATGAGAAGAAAGGCGCTACTATTAATGAAAGTACTGAAATCAAACTAGGGAGTTAGGGACAGTCTCTCTGTCCAGGTTGTAACCCAGACAGAGATGTAGCATGCTGAATGGATCAATGGGTAGGGATTTTATCTCTTCAAGTAGCAATAAGGCTTTGTACATAGGCTCAATATCTAGGCTTAGCAACATATAAATGGCTCTCCTATCCTGTACTTCGTTCCATCTGTTTTATCCACAATCTTACAAGCAGGACCTTCTAATGTCTCTCAGGAAATTCAACCAGCTTCCTTTGATACAGTATGAACAGATCACTTTAAAAAGGGTTGCTTTTATGCCTGAAGAAGCAGGGTCATGATTTGGGCCCTAAACATCATGTATTTTCCAGGCTTTTGTTGGCCTGACACAGATGTGACAGTCTAAGGAGCTAACATGGAGCTGCATAGAACTGTCTGAATATAGTTATTACAAGGTTTCACTTCAGTAATGTTTTTCCAGAGATGACCATTTTATAGTGATGGGGGAGATGTTTTTCTTACAGAAACTGGCTAGAACCAAAGTCTTCAGACTATAATAAAAAAAACACACAGCACATAAAAGCCTAACAACTGTATTCAGAAAATCCTCCTTAGCTGCCTGGGAGCTCTGTGGGTTCAGAAAAATTGGCAGTCTTGTTAGATTTTCCTGCCAGCTTACAGAGCCAGACATGGATGTCCCCAGTTTGCACAGTTCTTTCTAAACACTATGGGCAGTTTATAATCAATAGTGCATAGCATGAATTACATAGAAATAATAGATTGCTGCATTACATTATATTTGTGATTTGTAACAAGCACTGATGAGGATGAAATCATGGCCTGCCCTGAGATATTATTAGCCTGCTTTATTCAAGTATCTGATTGTTGAAGAAGATATACCATAGTTACTGGAACTCACTCCAGTGTATTGTCTCTAATATAACATAGAGATCAGGTTAACATTATGGAGCAATTGCAAATGTAAGCTTTGTAAACTTAATTGACTGAAAGTTAAGAAGATGCATATATAAACGAATCTGAATGTTTATCTTAATTTACTTTCAGCTTATTTTAAAGCAACTTTGTTACTAGCAATTATCTCACCACATTATATAGCTGCAACAATAACTATTAACTTATTACCCTAACTATTTCTAAAAAGCCTCATCTTAAACAATCCTACATTTATTTTTTATAATTTTCTCTGCTTAAATATTGGATCGGAACTCATAGAAAATTCTATTCCATAATTTTCATAAAGCTAATGGGTGCAAAAATCCACCATAGATCACGCTTTTTAAGATTTGGGTAAGAGCTCAAAGCAAACATTTATCGAAAAAATATATCTTTTCTTCACTGTTTTAATTACTCATACAGCAAAAATATTTCTAGTTAATGTAAAGTCTCACTGAGTAAGCTGAATATAAAATGCTACTCTGATCTTTTCAGAGCAAGTGTGGATAAATGAGAGGAAGATCAGTGAGACATCTTTATTTCCAGTAGCTTCTTGTTTTCTGAGTTACTCACTGGCTATCAAAGGTGACTGACTCCTCTCACAGTTCTACTTGACATGTGTTTAGAGTGAAGTCTGGCATTTCTGGAGATGTTAGGCTTCTGTCTTACAGCTGCAAATTCCATTCCACTTTGGGAAAAAAACACCTAAAAGTTTAACTCAATGTCAAGGTACCCATGTATGGTTATGCATTTAGCTATTCATAAGAACTGTAACAATATAAACTTTTGAAAATATGTATTCTCAAAAAAAAAAAAAAAAAAAAAAAACACCTAAAATATACAACCCCCCTTCCCTACTGTGGTTTCTTTTACTGATTTCTAAGAGAGGTAAAACTGAGGTATGAGATAAAAATGGAACCAAACAGAGAACATTACTGAGAAACTATCCCAAATTTAGTTATACACCAAATGTAGTTATTTGGAACAAATAACATTGAGCTCACTAGAAATTTTTCTTTGTGCTTAGCAGGTAGTGATGGTTGAACAGGATGGAAACATCTAGAGATGGACTAGATAGTCACACTGAAACTGGCACTGAATTGTGTAGTGCTGGATAGGTGAGACTGAAGAAGTAGAAATCCAGTTTTCAAATGCCTCAGAAATAGAAATTTAGTCCACAAGGACAGAGAATATCAAAAACCTACAAGAAGATAATGACATTGTTAAATAAATCAAACTGACGACCTGAGATCTGAGATCACAAAATAAAGAGGAGTTGACTATAGTAAATAATTTGATTTCAATTAAAATGCTATTCCCTCAGTTGAATGACTGAAACTCTACTAAATTCACCAAGGTCACACAAGTACAGTCAAAGGCAGAGTTTGGCTTATGCTCTATTTTCCTGGTTTTTGGACTAAGGAGCAACAAAGAAGAGAAGAATTATCCTAAAACTAAGAGCCATCATGAGCCCGTAATTTCATACATGTAATAAATCAATACTGGTTTAAAGATGCTATTGCTTTTCCATGTAAGAGAGGAAGGAAGCAGAATTATATTAGGATAGTGAGACAACAAAACAATTGTTTCACTACTTTCAGAAATAAAAGCCCAAGCAAAGTTTACAATTATAAAAAACTGGTTTGTATTAAATTTTTAATATTTGCCTTTAATCAAAGGCTTTAGAAAAATGGTTTGCAACAGTAAGTAAACAAACACTAAAGCATGGACAGTATAAGATTAATGAAATTCACAATTACAGGGTTGGAAGCTGAAAAGGTCTTTAAGCACAGATTAGATTATGTGGCCAAGTACCATCACATGTGGTGACGTAGCACATAGCAAATGCAGAGCTAAGCCAGCTTCACACTTTCAATTCCATCTTAGGTCTGACAGCTTTTTCTGTTGCTTGTCTAGTGTTTTTATTGATACTAACTTTTTTTGCTGATCGCCTTACTCTCTGGAGGAACTTCAGCAGACTCAGAATCTTCTGGGCTTCTCTAGTTAAAAGTAAAGATAATGGATCAGTGTTAAGGGGTTCTTCCAGCTGCTGGTATAAATACAGGAAAATATCAAATAAATTCAAGCTTTTTGCATTAAAGATAGTTGCTGTTATTTGCATAGATATTGTTAGAATCATTTATTGAGCACTGGCAGTGTGATTGGTACTGCAGAAACACACAAAAACGAAATCTTCCTTGCCCAGAAAATGTTAAAGTCTAATTTGGGTAGGAAGAAAGACATTCATAAGCACTAGTGTAACAGAAGAAAATAATGTTTCTGCTTGAACACACAAAAATTTGTGCCAAATACAGAACTAAAAAGGACATTATAATTCAAATTGCATCTTTTGATTTTCTCATGACTAGATGATTGTAGTTTCCTGCTGGATAGAGTGTCTATAAGATTTCCAAGGAAAAATGGATAGACACCAAAGTCTCTTTGGAGTTCGTGTTCTTCAGTTACTCTGTGAAAACACAAGACTAAACAAGATGATCATAGGTAGGTTTCACAGCCTTTCAAAATATAGGTTTTTTGTTCTTCAGGGTGGTACAGACTCCAGTGTCTTGCCTCTTGGCCTTTAGTTAGGGCTTTGTCTTGGCGTCAGATATCATTGGCTGGGCATAGCAGCACATGAGTATACTCCACTGCAATGAGTGAAATTTAGACTATTTCAAGTGAAGAAAGAGACAGTATCTTTGTCCTCACCCTAGAGAGTTAATTTGATGCATCAGCCCAAATGTTTAATTAACAGAAACTGCAACTCTGAGGAGAGAAGGGAGAACAAGAACAACCTCTCTTCCCCTCTAGCTCTTTGGGGCTTTTGTTTCTGATTAGAGAAATTATTAGAAATTTCTGTGAGGGTGAGATAAGCCAGAAAACTTCTTTGCTTGAAACTAGAAAAACTGAATTTATAATCATGATCTTTTCTGGTTTTTTTGTTTGTTTTTTTTTTTTTTTTTTTTTTTTTTCAAAAAAACATATTAAAGCTATTATGGCAGCCAATGAAATGTCAACAGAAGCACGAAAGAGTGCTTTGTTAGGGACAGCAGCCACCACTCCAAAAACTACAGCAGAGATGTGTATTGGCTGAAAACAGGATATGTCTCTTGGCTGGTATTAGCTTGGTTGTGATGTGGGATATGTGTTGTAGAAGCATGAAGAGGGAAGGGAAAGGATTTGGGTTTTAAATTCTACATTTTAAAGGAAAAATAGAGGGTTTTAATTCCCATGACTGCAGCCAGTCATATGAATTCCAGTAATTGTTCCACTTCTCTTATAATATTTATTCACATGCCACTTCTTTGAACTTAGAGTCAAAACTGCAAGACTAATCACTGACCTGAACCATTTATAAGCTTTTCTTAGTCAACCAGTGTTTGTCTTACTATTACTCACATGATTTTGAAAAATTGGCTACTCTTGTACAAACTAGCTAAGCCAGGCTAGTTCATGGGATCTATAGATAAGTTTAGGAGGATCTTGCTGCTGAGAGGAATGACAAGGTCGTTCATCATAAACAGGAAGCTATGACGTGGCTTACAAATTAGTAAACATTCTTTACTTGTCTGTTTGCTCTGCATTCAGTTGAAAGTTTCCCAACTGAGTTTGAGAGATTAGCAGTGGCTCGTGAGGCTCTCACCCATCACAACTGCTTTAGTAAAATGGAGCTCACATTAGAGGAGATCCTTGGAGATTCTGCTTTAAATAACAAGGAACCTGTGTATCTAGATACTATGTATAAACTGAAGAAATTTGTCGGGAAAAAAAGAAAACAGGTTAAAAGGTATGAGTCAATTTAGTTTGCAAAGATATATCTGTCTGTATACTCTCCACAGACCAACATAAAATTATGTAACTTCTTATAGTAAGCACCAGGCCCAGATACCCAGCTTGTTTATGTTACACTTCAAATCTGTGGAAAAATGCCCAAGAACAGTCCAAGATTTCATTTGTTCACTAATTATGTGCTTAACTCTCACTGCAGAAAATCTTGAAGTTTTTCCCATGAGAAAGTCTGCCCTTACATATGAGACATTTTTAAAAAGAAAGGAGGAGGAAAATCTTCAAGATTTTTATCAACAAAAGGTAGTATAGGAAGTGTGTTGTTATATCAATCCGATACACACTTAAGAAATGCTATTGTAAAAATCTGTGTTTGAAGTCTCTGTAAAAGCTCATTACAAACTTCAAAATCTAGATTCCTGACAATCATATCATGTAATAAAGGACAAATCAATAAAGACTGAAAAATAACACTGATTCATTATATTAATTTGGTTCAATTTTTGAGGAACAGAGAAAGAAGGGTATAAAATTAGGGAAGTATGTCATAATGGTAACCTACCAACTGTATGGTTGAAGTAGATTTGCCTCTGCCTGAATGTTCATTTAATTCAGATTCCACTGGAAGATCATGGGAATGTCCCCAGTGCCCATTAACTAAAGAAAGGCCCTGCTGAATGAAGATGCTTTGCAATTAGTTCTGAAACCCAATGAACACAGGTGCAGTCTTTCTCAGCCTTTTGTGAAAGTTTAACATTTGTAAATAATTGTTTTTTTCAAAAAACTCCTATTGAAAAATATAATTTATTGTTGGCTGGCATCAACATTTCCTAATGTTTATTTGATTAAAAAGACCCTGAAAAGTGAACACATAAATCAGTGACAACCATAATGGTTTGATAAAAATGATTTTGTTTTAAAACTGAAGATTAAAATTCGAAGCCGAGATAGATATAAAAAAAATAACTTTAAGAATTCATCTAGTTCTCAGTAGAACAATTCTAAAAATTTTTGGGATGATAATAAAGCCCTTCTCTTCAAATAAGTAACAAAAAAGAACTATTTTTTGCCAAACAAACAAAATATCACCATTATCATAATATTTTCGTTCTATTAATCTCACATAATAATCTTGTGGCTGACTCAAAGACAGTGTGAATAGATACTCTTTGCTATATCATATCTAAATCAGGCCAGTCATTGAACACTCTCTATAAAGCAGAACAAGCAAAGGCTTAGCCTTCTTAAGTGACATTAAGATACCCTCCCATGCTGAGAAACTTAATGAGCCATCACACTTTGTGTTACATTATATTCTTGTGCATAATCATATTTTCAGGCGCCAGCCTCACTGAAATAAATTAATAGAATTACTATAAGAATGGTAGTGAGCAAGCAGATATTACTAGTATAAGACTGGGTTCAACTGACAACAACATGCATGCTAGATTTTCAAATCTATTAGGAGAGGGGTCAAAAACAATTTGGAAATTTTAAGATAGCATTCTTGAAATCATCTGGTGCTTACATCTATGTCTTCCTCCTCTTCATACAGAGCCTATAGTAAACAACTGTCATTGCTATTTCCTATGGATACATATTCTTCAACTGCTCCAGTGCTAGACATGAAAGCATGCTTATGAAACACATTCAATTAACTGTTCCCTTGTTGAGTTATAAATATATGGAACACATTCATGAAGCACACAAAATCTATAGAGCAAAGCAAAATAGAAACTGAAGGTCAATCTAGTAGGAGTACCTTGGAAAGCAATTTTTAATGCTTCATTTAACTCATACAAATGATATTTATTTTCCACATCATTTTAACATTTTGTGCACTGTAAAATCTCAAAATAAAAGAGATTTTTTAAAAGGATAAATGTACAAAGCTTTACCTGGTCACGTGTTGTTACCAAAAGAAAAAAGCACTTTTCTATCAGAAAAAATCCATGAATTCCTCCAATTATTCCCAAAAGTTTCCAAATGTATTCTTTCCCCTCATAGAAATGTTCTACTTCTTGTACTTCATGTTTATGTAAACCAAGAGTCTAAAAAAAGAGATAAAGTAAAAAAATGTTAAATGGCAATGTTTTAATTTTTGCTAGAGTAATCCATAATGTGCTAATTCAATTTAATCTCAAAATTTTCTTTTGCCATCTCTTTCAAATTTACATTGTTTTTCAAGTTAATCGGCTGAATAGTAGATAAATGAAATTCATTATTAGGAACCTTTGCTATACTTCATCATCTCTCAATGGTGAAAGCATCATTATTTTTAGAGAGAGCTTTATCAAATTGCCCTTTATATATATACAGAGAGAGAGTATATTTTGTTTAGAATATATTGATCTCTGAAGTATAAAAAGTTACTTGCATCATCTTCATATTGAAAATAATCCATAAAGCATTCAGCTGGTGGGTCTGCTTCCATTTTTTCCTCAGTGGCACAGCGTGGTAGCCCTCCTTTGCTCTGATAAGTGCACACTTTAAAGACTGCTGGACACGTCACTTAAAACTGGTGAAGGAGAGTACTTTCACACTCAAAAGTCTGACATTCACTGAGACTTGTCTTCCTTAAATCACTATCCCAGCTCTGCTTCCAGAGATGATATATTCAGTATGAAGAACATTTTGACCAGAACCTCAAGTGAAGGTGTGAAGCTCTCTTTCAATGACCAGCTGAAGTCTACTCATAATTGTTGTGCCACATCAGAGGAGACTCAGTCAAAAATAAATGAATACACAGTGGAAAATTTGGTTCTGTTTTACACACTATACTATTCATAAAATTTATTTTATTAATTTAGGAAAAAATCTTAACACCCATTTTATTACAGTTCTAGGCAGCAGAATTACTATGCTGATAGCCCTGGTTCTCTGGAACAATGTGTGCAGGGGATTGTGGATGCCTCGTACACCATTAAACAATTTCTCCTAAAATGTGTTACAGAATATGCCTAAGAAAAGAGTTTAGTACACATCTAGAAACCTGGTTTGCACAGAACTTGCAGGTTTACTGAAAACATATTTTGAAAATAGGAACCTTATTTTCTCTGAATTCATCTTTCATTGATTTCTACTTCTTACTACTTGGAATCTGTCATTGAGCTACAAAGTGCAAATGTAACTGGATTACTCAGTGGTTGGTTCACACATTTCAAGGAAAGCTTTAGTTTTAAACAGATGAGCATTAGTCAATTTTAAATGAAACTTTTCTATGTGTGTGCACACATGCGTGCACATATGCATCAACATTTAAAAACACAAAAGTGTGTACTACCTACCTGAGGAATAAGGTGTAGCAATGCATCTCCAGAAAGGGTCCCAACAGCCAAACCGACAAACAGCTGTAAAATGAGTGTATAGATTTCTTGACAGGAGTTAAATAAAATGAGGGTTGTACCAAACATAGATCCAATAGTAATAAGTAAAACAGCAACAGTGCTGTAACCATATTCTGTAGGGGAAAACAAATGAAACAAAACAAGGGCACCTTTAATCATTCGGTATTTGTATTTCTGTTTGAATATTTGTTTTGTACTTGTATTTGTTTTTGAAGCTATGTTTTGCCATCTCTGTGTACAAGCACACAGAGGAGAAGTGATTCATTGTGCCACATAGATTTTTCTACTCAGGTGTTATACAGATAACAGAATTGGAAGCCTAAAAAACATTAATTTTTGGCGGGGCTTTACAGCTAATACAGTGTAATGCTTCCAAATTTCAGACCTTAAAGAGCTAAACAGACCATGACTGTGCAGATTAGAGACATTTAGAGCAGCACAGTGAATGCTGGTCTGAATTTGTTTTCTCTCTTAAAAGATTTATGCTTGTTATTCTGTGTCTTTACATGCTACACCTGTGTATCTTTACAGTCAAAACCACCCTGTTAACCAAATCATATCTGGTAAACAAACCAAGGCCTAAGACCTCAGATTAATGCAGGCATCTAATTCAGGTTCTAAGCATAAAGCTTTTGGTCCAATTTATGTTTGCAAATGTGCTGCGGACATACACTCCCTTAGTTACTGTAATAGGACCACCAGCCTACTTCTGCCAGGTTACTGGGATTTTTGGAAGGTTACTTTTATAATTCTTCAGAGTTACACGCTGCTTACATTTCCAAACATTTGCACAACATGAATCCCGATTAATCTCTAAAAAAAGTCTTATGATGGAGGTAAAACACTTATGAGAAACAGACGTAAAGAAACTACGCCAAAATTTTCAAACATGTCACTTAATGTTTCACACTTTAATAGCACTGCAACTGCTCAGCACCTCATAAAATCGGACAGTAAATTTCACAGACTGCACATCCAAATACAAGGGTATAGTAGATATTTATGGAAGGTCAGGCCTTGGTGACTTAGCCAAAGCAGCACAGCCTGTCAGTAAAATAGAACTGAGAATAAAATTAATGAGCCCATGCTCAGGTCACTAGGTCACACATAGGTCAAACATGAAGTCCTTTGTCTGTCTCAAGCCAGCATAAGTATCCCTGTGGTCATGGAAACCTTCCTGTGCCAAAAAGCACAGGGAGAGGGCTGCAGAAAGGGCTCTTATTAATTCCATTCTGTGTTTGAACAGTTCAGCTCCTCCCATCTACACAGATCTCTCACCTTTATGAGATCACTAAAATGTCATTGATTGGGCTGATGGCCTTAGACTTGAAAGAATCTCACTCAACTGTGAATTTGCCATGAACCTTGTATATGATCTGGGCAAGTTAATTTATTTCTTTGTCCCTTGATTCCCCATCCAAAGAATGGACATATCTGTGTAGCACAGAAAAGATAAAAGCAGTAAAGACTGCAAGGTGCTCAGGTAATGAGAAGAGAGATAACATAAGAAAGAAAGACTGATGTTTTCTGGGGAGCTATAATGATTCTTCTTATTCTGTATGTTTTTTTTCTCCTATAGACATTCTTGGGATATCCATGAGTCCTTCCATGCCTTTATCTAACATGTTTTTTTTTCTAATTCACACTTACAGTTCAATTAATCTGTACACCGTGGAATGATAGCTCAGCTCATTCCCACAAGCTGCTTAACATGTGTATCTTAAAGTACAGATAGACTCCAGTGTTGGAAAGTGCTGTTCTGTAAGGATTGTTGGCCAGCAGGATGTGGGGAAAGCTTACTAGCTCCTAAAAGATCCTGTCATCTAGAACTGGCCATGTAGGTATTAGTAGAAAGGTACTGAAGGAATTGATTTGTAGCCTAAAAGTGATGATCTAGATGCAGGTGATTATGATTAGATGCCCATTCCTTTTTGCTCATTCCTGGCTCCCAAATTAATGTCCCCTGTAATACACCAGCACACCTAGGTTTGTAACCAGTTCCCAGATATTGCTGGTTTAAAGTAAAAACAAAACCAGGAAGCACATTAAGAAGCCCTTAGTTAAGATCAGATTCAGATTTTTTTTTTCAATAGGGTGGACTAGGGTTTGGTTACAGGAGAATTTGAATCAGCAGAACAGATGGGGCAGAAATCCCTGGAAACAGTGGCATGTGAGGGCTATTACTGTGACTGGAAACAACCTGATTATACTCTAACTCAGTTGTATCAGCTCTATCACACAAGTCCTACTTCCCATCTGACTGGTTTTCTTCTTGTTTTTCTTCCCACAATCATATCCCCAAAGCTTCTCTCCTGTAAAATATCACAACTTGAAAAGCCAGCAACATTCACACTGACTGTATCTATATCAAGCATTTGCCACATCACGGTATAAAATGTCAGCTAACATAACTTTGAGGCTATGTGTAAGAGCCATTAAATGACTCCAGTATAAACCTGGTGGAAATTTCACAAAATAGATTATTACTGCCCAGCAACCCACTGATAAGGACCTGTCATGGCTCACCTGCTGCCTACGTCAAGCAGTCCTCTAAGAAATTAAGAAAATAAAGCTTAAAGCCTTACACATTGAAACAGAATTCTGTCTAATAGAAAATTGGGATCATTGAATCCCCTCACTTCTCAATATAATACTATAAGATGTATGCTATGAAATTATAGAGTGCATAAATCTCACCATGTTTTGGTTTAATTAATGAATGACATGTCTCCAGAAGTTAAGCCCTCTAACTATCCAAATTTTCACAGTACATTACTAATAACAACATAACTCACTTTCCAAAGCTGTTGGTGGAAACTTTGTCTGCTTGGAGTCAGGATGCTGACATGAACAGCTTAATAGTTGCTGAATGATAGCTGGACTGATTTGCTTGAAGTGGTCCTTAGAAATGGAGGAAGAACTGTTTTTTAAAAAAATCTTCACAAGTTCATTGGCAGAGAAACAAACCTATGTAGAAAAGTATATACAGTTACTGAATGTTGCATATACCTGCATTTAGTGCTAAGGTTAAATATGGAATCTTAGAAGAACAGAGGTTATACAACCTGGAAAAAACTTGTTTTCCATATACTCTTTTCTGGTTAAATTACTTTAATTATTTCAATTACTTATAATTCTTTTTTTGTTTTTCCAATTAAAATTTGATATTAATATATATTTCAGAAAGACCAGAATCTTTGGGATGAAGTAGCACGATTCTTATTGAATCCTGTTAATATCATGAGGATCTGACACAATAACATCTCTAAATATTTTATTGTCATATGTGCTAAAAAAATATTTTAATGCTAACACAAATCATATTCTTGGTTATTAATGGAAGACTGCATTAATAGCAATAATATTCTTATTAATGTAAGATATTTCCTGTGTCAAGGCAGTACTGAAATTTGTCCTTGTGCTGCATCTTTGGTAAAATATGGAACTAAGCTGTTTTTTTTTAATTCTTTTAACAATGGCATGTCACTTTAAGGTCAGCAAATTAAATGTTACATAGTCTAAATTTAGTCTGAATGTTATTTAAGTATTCTATTATTAGATGTACTTAAGAATTTAATCTAGTTTTTGTTCTTGTTAGAAACATCTCTTTGTCAAAAAAAAGGAGGAACTTTTCTTGGGAACATCTATATTTTGAAAAATTTTCATGAAGAATTGGTTTTTCATCTCCAGGATGAAACTGCCAGTAAAAATGTGAGCAGATAGTATTGGAACAGTTCTAGTGGCAATTTCTGTAAGTATTTCTAAAAAGAAGAAGTCCAGATCAAATATGCTATTTTACTTAAAGGAATAATCTTCATTTCTTAATCTCATCTGATTAGCTGTGATTGAATTAAAAAATAAATATTTGTTTCTTTCATTTAAATTAGTCTGTATCTGAGAATCAAGGGATTCCTAAACATTCTATTTCTAACTGAAGCTTAGGTTTCTTTTGAAAGAAAATTTCTATTTAAATAAAAAAGTTGTAATTATCATTACTTTTAAATAACCCAATTAAAATGCAACACTTTCCTGTCTTTGTTCATCCATTAGTTAAGTAAAATATGCCTTGTAACTCACTAAGAAACTGAATGAATTGAGCACTGATACATTTATTCTGAATACCACATTCAAGTCTTCAGGATAACAGGCGATCTTGCCACATGGATCTAGTCTGTTCTGCCTCCCAGCAGAAGTAGAGCATGAAGACAATTCAGGAGCTACCATATTGGAAAAGACCTTCAGTTTGCCTGTTCTAGGCCGTAGTTTTGACTCCAGAAGTAGGAAACACCAACAAGTGGTATCAAGTTGGAAGCCTAGCTTGTGGCTGGTTATGAGCAGCATTCGTCACTGCCCAGTACCAGGACTGATACTATTTAATGCCTTCACCAATGACCTGAGTGATGGAACAGAGAGCACCATATCACATTCACATATGAAATCCAACTGGGACAAGTAGTCAATATGCTGATGGGCATGGCTACTATTTAGGGAGATCGTGACAAGCCAAAGAAATGGGCTGACAAGACCTTCATGAAGATCAGCAAAGACAAATTTATTGTGCTTCAAATAGAATAACCCCATGCATTAATAAAGGCTGGGAAAAACTGACTGGAAGGTGGCTTTGCAGAAAAAGTCCTTGAGGTCCTGACAGACCACTTGAACGTGAGTCACCAGTGTGCCCTTGTGGCAACAAAGGCAAACTGCATAATGGGCTGCATTAGCAAGAGTGCAGCCAACAGGTAGTGGAAAAAGATTGCCCTCCACTCGGGACATATGAGTCCACATCCAGACTACGTCCAGTTTAATAACCAGCAATACAAGGAAGACATTGTCAAATTGGGTGAAATTCAGTGGAGGGCCACCAACATGGCTAGGGAAAGCAGCACATGATGTGCAGGGAGAGGCTGAGGGATTTGGGTTTGTTCAGTTTGGAGAAGACTTGGGGGTATGTTAAGTCTTCAACTATCTAACAGGGGTTATAGGGAAAATAGAGCCAGAGTCTTCTCAGAGGTGCACAGCAAAAGGGTGAGAGGCAATATGTATTAGTTGCATCAGGGAGAATTTCAATTTGCTGTAATAAAAGAACCCAAAATGAGGGCAATAAAGCACTGTTACAGGTTTCCCAAAAAGACTCTGGAATCTCTCTTTGGAGGCATTCAGAATTCAGCTGGACACAGCCATGTGAAACTTGATCTGACTTTGATGTTGGCCCTGTTTTGAGAAGTAGGATAAACAAGATGAGGTCCAGGATTACTGTGAATTTAAATGTGATTTTATTATCAGGATTTCTAAATGAAAAAGCAAGATCTCATTTGGGAAAAAAAACCTGCACACCCACAGATAAAAAAATAATTCCTGATGGTTATTTAGTAAAATGTTCTTGTGAGATTTGAGGCATTAGGACCTGCATCTTTTCAGTTGCAATGCCTAGACTTTTAAACTTTTTAATGTGAGGAGGCAGAGTACTAAGTCTCCGTTATCAAAGCAACTATGTGTGTACTTGTGGAGGATGAAACTGAAGAAACAAGTAAATCAAATTTGCATATTCTCATATGAAAACCTGGATGGATGGATGGATGGATGGATGGATGGATGGATGGATGGATGGATGGATGGATGGATGGATGGATGGATGGATGGATGGATGGATGGATGGATGGATGGAAGATTTATGTTTCCAAAATCCATGTATCTTTAATGAGGAATAATAAATGAATACATAGATATTGTGATGTAGTTTAATATAACTTAATATTATTGCTCTTATTAGGTCATCTTGTCCTGGGTTGAGTGAGTGGTGGAGTTTTTTGGTGGCAGGGGAGGGGCTATCGGGGCGGGTCCCTGTGAGAAGCTTCTCGAAGCTCCCCCAGCTCCAAGTCAGCTCCACTTCTGTTTGGAAAGCTGAGTCAATCAGCTGCACCTCTGCGATAACGTATTTAAGAAGGGACGTGGTGACGGGCAGTCGGACTTGTGAGGAGGAGTTGCTGCAGCTGCATGAACACCAAGGTCAGTGGAGGAACGGAGGAAGAAAGGAGGGGGGAGGTGTGCCAGAGAAGAGACCCCCCTGTATCCTGTGGTGAGACGGCAGGGTGGCCCCCCCTGCCACCCATGAAGATCTACGATGGAGCAGACATTGATTTATGGCCTGTTGCTCCAGCTCGGCTAATCAAGGTTCTGTGCCCGAAGAAGGCCGGGGTCTCATGGGAAAAGGTAGCCCCGCTGCTGTAATTCAGTGCTGGGAGGATTGCAGCATGCGGGGGTGTCCCACGCCGGAGCAGCTCGGGAAGGGCTGCAGCTGTGGGAGGGAATCCAGTCAGAGGAAGTTAGTGACCCATGACGGAGCAGTGTGGGGAATGCTGCGGCCCATGGGAGGAATTCATGTCGGAGAAAGTTTGTGGAGGACTGTCTCCTGTGAGAGGGGGACCACGATGGAGCAGGGGGAAGAAGTTCCGGACACTCCCCTCACCGAAGATGAAGGAAGTGGCAGCGCTGACTGCACCCCCCATTCCCTGCCCCTGCGCCACTGGGGGAGGAGGTAGAGATATCGGGAGCAGAGCTGAGCCCAGGAAGAAGGGAGGGGTGGGGAGAAGGTGTTCTCAAGATGTGGCAATGGTTCTCACTGTCCTACTCTGTTATGTGTTGTTAGTGTCTGTAATAAATGTATGTTCTTTTTTTTCTTCCCCTAACGAGTCTGCCTTTTGCTCGTCATCATAAAAGGGGGATTTTTCCCCATCCCAGTCCTATCTTGAACCCCAAGCTTGGCTCTCTGTCCCTTCTCATTGCCGGAGGGGATGGGAGAGAGAGCTGCTGCATTGTGGTTGGCTTCCAACCAGGCCTAAACCACAACACATCTGCTACTTACTTGTTTTATACGCATTTTTTAAATCAATAGAGACAATGATGACTTAAAAAGAAAGCAGTGCCCTTTTTTTCTGTGCTAATGTTTTAAAATATAATTCTTATCTAAAAATGAAATTACAGATCTTAATTTAGTTAGCAAACACACGCCATAAATGAGTCAATGCTACATATGTAGCAGCATCTGTTACTAATGGAGCACAATGGCTATCATAGGTATGTGCAGAAAGCAGGAGACAAAATCAGCAACTCTGAAACACAAAGCCTTCTAACGGAATGATATATCAAAGAAAATAGACATAACTAGAAAGCAGAGGAATGGAATAAACCTGAGAAACTAGGAATCAATAATACAGAAGAGAAATTCTCTTTTCTCCAGATGTTTCTTTGTGATTTTTTTTCCATGTACATAGAATATTTGGCTCTCAGTTTGACTCCCAAGCCTCAGATAACTCTGTTGCACACTGATCTTTTCAGTTATAGTCAGTCTCAGAACTTCAAGAAATCAAGAACTGTTTTATAAATTATTCTATTGCTAGAGAACAATTTTATTTCTTGTAAAGATAGTATCAATACTGATTTCTGTCCTTCACAATTTAAAATTAATATGAAACACATTTAAAATGATCTTCATTCAAAATTATTTTGAGACACCATTAAATATCTTATCATGCTGATCAGCATGATTTTCTTTTGTGGTCAGCTGGAAAGAAATAAACATATTGATAGAGTAAATATTCCAAATGCAATAAAATTACACAGATAAATATCTATCAGAATGGCATTTAACCGGATGTCACTTGTCTCAGTTCCACATCAGAAAATGACCACACAGCAAAAGTCAATTGCACATCACTTACTCTCCTAAATGGAGAAGAAACATTGTCTTTAACTTAAATTGTAAAGAACTGAAACAATAGAAACATATTATTTGAAGTATATATTTCAAATGTATACATCAAAATATATACAAAGTATATACTCTGAAGTTTCCTTTTATGTCTAAGGAATGTCTTTCAGTCTAAAAGATGGAAGTCAGATACTATCTTAATTCATTGTTATAAACAAAATTTATTTATCTTCAGATATTTAAGATAAGGATAAAATTACTTGCAATGAGCCATTATCCCTCAAAGCCCTCAAAGAAGATACTGGGGAGCAGCAAAAGTTCTCTCTCATAGACTCTATAGTTTATAAAGGAGGCTTCTGGACTCCATAGAAGGCTATTAAAAGCATTTGGAAATGCCTAATCTTCAGTTTACAGAAAGTTTTTTTAAAAACAACTTGAGCAGAAACCTTAATTTAATTTTTTTTTTCCCTTAGTACAGAAGAGCACTTTCTTCTGCAAGGTCACTTAAGTGGTCCTAGAAGCTCTGCGACATAAAAGCATAATAAATCTCTAATAAATGTGTGAAAACATTGAAGCCATGGTACTACAGTCCTCTGTGTCTTGAAGAAACACCTGATTCCATGTAACACTAAACCTTCTGTTAGTCCCTCCCAGATACTTTAATAATATATTTAATATCCGTAAAGTTCTTCCCCGTTCTTCCCCCAATTACCATTTAAACAGATATGAATATATAAAAATGCAGTTTTATCAGTATCTACATGACTTTTTGAAACTAATAAATTTTACCTCAGAAATAATGTAGTGCTTGTAAACCAATCTGAACTTTTATCACTGAAATTCTGTTATTTATGCTAGAATAACATAAAAATTAATTAACCTGGTCCCAATCTGCATTCCTTTCATAATCTCCAAAATGACCTTTCAGATAGTCTCCTTCTTTACGGTCTCCTTTGACTGGAATATTTCTGGTTCCAATATCTCTGGTTGCCATACTATAACGTCTTCTTTTGTGACTGTGAAACTGTCCATTTACAGTGCAGGTCTTTTTGGCTGTAAGCACATTCAGTAGTCGATCTAGTTCTAGTAATTCATTAGAAAACAGATATGTTACCATGGGAAAATACACATTTAAAAAGATAAAAGCAAAAGTAATTCTTAAAATTTTATTAGTTATAACATTAATTAATGGCCTTATATTTTTTCTCTCCTCAGTTTGTCACTGTAGGTAATTTCTGCTTAACACCTAGAAGTACAAGACACCTATATACTCAGCCTTTCCTCCTTAACAGTACCACACTCAGATGTTTTGCCTATGACTATCTCTGAGGAAAACAGATGTGCCTGAAAGGCAATTCATCTTCCATTTAATTATTGATCTCTGCCAAAGTTATCTACAAATTGCTGCTAAATAACTTTACTGTTCTTCAAATTTTCCCATGTAAATGGAACACCAGGCTAAGATGCCATGCCCAGGTATTTGGATAGTCCAGAAAGACCAGGAAGACAGGTCCCTTTTAGGGCGTCCTGAAAGCAAGCTTCATGATGCTATGCTGCCCTTCGTGCTTCAGAAGTGGAACACAGGGCAACAGACTTTCTCTCTCCTTTGGTCAACCTTTAAGCACGCCTGTTTACAGCACTGCAGTACGAAGGGGGGCGTCAGGATCCCTAATCCAAACCTGAGACAATGCGGGGGTCTATCCCATGATATAGCTTAAGTGCAACGGGTGTGTCTGCTGATAAATGCCTGGCTACGCAAGGGGGCATGTGCTGTCCTATCTTCCTTATCACCTTCCTTCACCCCTGCATTTTCAAGATGAAGCCATAGTGATAGTTTCTGTAAACCTGAGTTTGTCCACTGAAAACAAAAGCAGTCCACAAATTAACTTCAGAGGAATTCAGATCAATGAGATTAAGAATGTTTTCATGTCATTATCCTTTATTTTTTAACGTTAATATTCAGAAAAAGTAAATGGTATAATCTTAATGATAAATCTTGCAAAAAGGCTTGTGATAAGATGTTTGTCTTCTTTGTCTTAAGCAAACAGATATGAATGGAGCTGAAGCTAGATTTGTTTTCTAAATGTAGTCAAGCAAATTTTTTTTCCATGTTGCTAATTCCTTGTTCTTTCCTGCAGATACTATAAAGAATTTAAATAATTTTAAAGGGACAATTTAATTAGTTTAGGCTTAAAATATAATTACACTCCAACAAACTGTTTAAGAATTCTTTTTTATTTCTCTGAATGACACCCTGACTCCACCAACCATAAAGTCTTGCTATTGTCTTCACTGGGGCCTGGATTTCACCACATATAGCTATTTAGTAGCACTGTGCCCAGATGGCTCCATCCATTCTTGTGAGTCAATTATTTTACAAGATCTGGCTTGGCAATTTTAAAGGAAGGGTTTTGCTGCAAAATCAATTTATGCAAGTACAATCTAGGAGTCCAAGTTGAAGGCTGAGGATTTTGTTCTTTTTTTTTTTTTTTTTTTTTTATTATTCACTTCTGTGATTCAAAGTAACTCTGTGTAACCTGAGTGGTAAAAATGTTTCTACCTATGTTTAATTCAATGTTTTGAGCTGTTTTAACCCATACTAAACCTTACTTTTTAAAAGTGACTTGAAAAGCTTGTAAGGTGCTGCTATTAGCAGTTACCACAAACAAGGAAAAGTAGATGTCTTATAATAACCTTCTAAATCCATAGTAGGCCCCTGAGTTGATGCTTTAGCTCCTTAAACTGCTAATCATGCAGAATCTTTTACAGAACTTAATAGCAGCTGCTGAGAGCTCAACACTTGTGTTTTCTTTTTTTTTGGACCACTCATAACACTCCTATATTTCTATTTATTTATGGTTAAGTAGCATTTCTGATGTCTAGCAACAGAGCTCCTGAAGAAAATGAACTTTGCATATTACAGACTCACTGACTGGGTACAAAGATTGGGAGATAGGGAAGCATCAACCATAAAAACATTTTCAGGTACAGCAGGCAGACATTGGAGAGCATCTGATCAAAACAGAGTTGCCTGTGGCTATTTCATCTCTTCTGGAGGTACGTTTACACTGAGGTGTGACTAAGGTGTCTAATCTGGCTACCATACATGAATTATGCTATCTACCCCTAAATGCATCATCCAACGTATAAAGGTCTGAATAAAGAATCATTATAAACCAGGCCCCACTTAACTCTGACCTCACAGCTAGATTGCCACTCTCAGACCTCTCTTGGATAGTTCAGACTGTGCTGAGCAATTAAGTAATAAGTTAATGTGATAGTACACATTTAATAATCTCAGTAACAACTTGTTTTATACCTCTCAGAGAATTATCAAAATAAGGAGTTTATTTTACAATCTTGTTTTTAAATTTAGAAGAAACTACTTAACAGCTCTAAAATGAAATGGCATTTAAATCTAAAATTAAGTGCAAAATGTCCTTTAGGCATTTAGAGATAGTTTACATCAAATGTGTGTTGCAAAAGACAACTAGAGGTTAATAAATAGCTTACCTGTCACTTGAAGCTCAGTGGTACTGTTCAGAGAATTGAAAATATATTTTATAAAAAATTCTGGGGAGGGCAAACTTGCTTTCCCCATACAAACTCCTTGGAGAGCCAGAGTAATGATTAAAGCAGCCAGGCGTGGAAGAGTGTTTTCATCAGCACCATCTCTGTCTATTATATCAGCATTTTTCTCCAGAATACTCACATCAACACACTGAAATCAGGAGAAAACAGCATGAATACAGCCCTGGTCACCTTCATTTAAATAATAAGAGTGACAGGAGAGAACACTTTCACAGACAGACAGAGCAGAAAAAATACTAAGATTAAAGCTGTAATTGACAGCAGGACAGCAAACGCAAAACAAGACATTTTCAGGGGAACAGGTATAGAATGAAAAAGCCTGAAATTTTACTAAGTGTCTGATGGGGAGGAAGTACAGTGCTTCATTCAGGGTATTTTTGCTTAGTGTTATTTTCATGCTGTTTCTATTATTCCTATGTCTTCTTCAACTGCATCTACATCTACTTCCAGAAGTGGCAGAGAAGGGAGGAATCCTTGTGAAGGCACAAGAAATTGACTCAGATAATACAGACTTTAACTCTTTATCTCAAAATACAGGAAGAATTCTCTAAATGTATTTAGTTCGCTATCTATTAAATGGAACCAACGATTTGTTATGGGTGAGTTATCGGGGGACAGTACAGAAAGATATAATTCTGCAGATGAAGGGCAACTTCTCTGCTGGGTGACCAAACAGGAGTAGTAGACAGTCATGTACACCCATGTGTGTAGGGTACAGTTTTCTCTGTTACCTGGAAACTTATCCCTGTTTTCTTCCATTTCTGCCTTTCTGGTTTATTTTCACTGCAAACAGTGAAACCTTCTCTAACCCCTATTAACTAAATTGAAAAGCCAACTAGATGACCCAGTACAATAATAATTTATTTTACACCTACTCATTTCTCTCTATATATGCCTTAAACACTGCAGAGAGGAGGCTGGTATTTCTTTTCCTGTCCATCCATTACACATTTAAACTTCCACAACCCAAAATTTCATCTCATTTCAAATCGTATATTAGGTGCTATGACTGAGAAGAGGATATTTTCTGTGAAACCAAAACATATAAAAGCCACTAAAACTGCTTTTCTTCTATTACTACCCTACATCATTGGTCCTTTTCCGTAAGTCAAGTGTGATTCTAAGCATTAGAATTAGTCTATAATGTTTTGAGTACCTTTCATAAAAAAAAAAAACTTTTTCCCTCATGTCAGTGAGCAGTAAAGTCTCAGTTACTGAACAGTCTTGACAACTGGTTATACTGCCAGCATAAACAAACAGACCACACAGTAAAGCACTTTATGGATTGTTATTCTATCTTGACATGCCAAATACCCACCGATGCCTCTTTACAGTTGCCCAGATACCATTGGAGTTCTCGGAAATCGGCACGTTCACCAAGACTCAGAACCAAAAGTACTGGTCAATGAATAATTTATGATGGGAAACGATTACACAAAGAACATAGAGGAACTGAAGGCCCTCAACATTCTGCTGCCCAGCCAGGACTCCTAGCCATCTTCTGTTTTCATAGGAAACTCTACTACAGTATGGTATAAATTAAAATCTAATGAAATGAAAAAGAAAAGGGCAAATTCAAACTTTGCAATAAACCAAGTAAGTATATTATGAACAGGTCTAAGGGGCTTCTCACAGGAGGTCAGCCTGTACTGTAAGAGTTATTTAATCTGGCAAATATTTTATTGCCTATTACAAGGAAAACAATTTGTGAACTCTATAATATTATTCTATTATTTTATAGACCCTAGTTGAGATAAGGAATAATAAACAGTGATAAGAAAACTCATTGCATGTTTCCTGACTTTAAAAGGATGTTTTCAGATGAATATACTCAATACACTCCTTTTTTTTTTTTTTTTTTTAACTTTAAATTTAAGCTTATCTGTATCAGTCTTTCTACAAGGCATATTCATGCTGGTAGATAATTAGTCACAAATGTATGTGTCCCAACTGAAGGAAACCACCATATCTTTGGACAGATTCCTTATTCCGCCCTGCTTTGGATGGGCATGGAAGCTCAGAGCTTGGCAAGGATTTCATCACAGCAAAATGATTTATAGTTTCTGCTACACAGCCAGATCAGTTTTGGAGCTTTTCTGCTTTGTACCATTTAAATACAGTCATTTCTAGTATATCTATACTAATAAATACAAGAGATGAGAAATTATTTTCTGTCCTTGAAGCCAAGTGCAATATCTTGCATCTACACAGCTATGCTCTTTTCCATCTGCCCTAAACAGGGCAACTGCACCTAAATGACCTATTGCTAATGGTCCCTAACATAGACTAATTCCCCAGCTGTGTCTCAGAGGACTCTGTGGAAGTGCTAGGCAGTGCATGCCAAAGGCAAGTCAAGGAGAAAGTATTAAACAGCACATACAACAAAAGACCACTGTTCAGTCTTGTGCTCTCACACTGTTATTTTCCAGTTTTATGGAGGACCATGATACTGACACAATGTCTGAACTAGCTTAAAGGCATTATATCAGTAATAAATATGAAATTATTTTTACTTATGTTTTCTTTACCTGGGTTTCAGAACTTTTAAAATGTTGCCTTACTGCAGCCAAAGTATCTTCAGTTTCATTCCGTGAAAAATAATAACAGTCTTCATCATGTCTTAAACTAAGCATACTCTGTAGATAAAATTTATAATCCTTATTATTCAAGCTGAGTTCTGGAGAACACATATCTCCACGATGAAGAATGTAGTAGAGAAGAATAAGAGAAATTCTCTCAAATACTTCTTCGCTGAGATGGTCTGCTAAATCTCCACCAGCTACTAGTATCAAAGCATCTGCTTCAAGGCACTGTGAAAAAGTAAAAAGAAATGGAAATTCAACTCAAGTAACACATGGCCAGTCATCTGCAAATACAATTAGAGAGGAGAGCAGGAGGATTCAACTCACATTTAAGGGATCGAACCTAAGCCTACACAGATGGAGGCTGATGGATTGGCAGGAGGAGGGTGCAGGTAGTTCATTGCAGTTCTATGGCTGCAAGATCACACCATTTTTCCAGAGCCCCTTCTGGTTTTAAGAAATGTTAAGCATCCAAGGGATTTATGATTTGCCACAAAACAGAACTAACTCATCAATCACTGTAGAGAACTAGAAGCCTTCCACTGGCTTCACAGATTATATTTCTGGTTATAAATATATTAGATAAGGGCTAGGGCTATTCATATTTTCACCTGTGCACTCTATAGCTGTTTATATTATAAGACAAAGACTATATCTGGACTGTAGGTAATTCAGGGTATATAAACAGAATCTACATCATATTCAATGCACTGTTAAGAGACTTAATTGACCCCACAATCTTATGGCTATTTTTATTTTTTCTCAACATTCTGATAACTGGAACAATTCGGTCCAGTGCAGAGAGTCAGCACAAGGTCTCAATACCATTTAGTCCTCCAAATGCATTTCAAGAGGGACTGAAATTATATACTCACCTTGTGCAGGATTTCTATCTGAGCACATATTTTTTTAATATATATATATATATATATATATATATATATATGGATATATAAACCCCTCAATTTTTCTTGATACAAAGACACTTTCCAGAAACTTTTGCCAGCTCAAGCAAAAGTTAGTCTTTAAAATTATACCAGAAGACTAATAGAACTCTGTGTCATGCTATAGGAAATAAGATACTGAATTCCAGAATAAAGAATCTTTCTTGAAGAGATCCCATAATGACTGTCATTCATTGTGTAGCCCTTTCTTCCCAACTGGCTCCTTTCCAAGAATGCTGTAGGTGTGTCAGCTAATCTCAACTATTATGGTAAAGCATCTGGACTGTATATTACAGAGAAGAAACTACAATACAGAAAGGTACCAAGGGAGGATCAGAACTGCACTCTAGTAAATTAACGAATCCAGACAGAACCTAGTTTGTCAGACTAAATTGTTTGTGGCTACAAGAATGATGTCTTGGTTGGTGTGGCTTACCTTCTGTGTTCATTTTCCTACACAGAAGCTGAGTAGAATCAAACACACACTGTCATGTTCAGAAGCCAATCTTCCTTGGAGGATTTGAGAGAGCTGCTACTTTTTAATAGAAATAATTCTAACAAAAATTCTCACAAATACTCAATCTAAACAAAAGAGAACTGTGGATGGTAATTGTTAAATTAAGTATTTATCCTCATAAGTAAACTAGATTACAGTATGATCACCATGCCCTGACTACATTGTCTGTCAAGGTCTATAATTCTAACCTTTTCTAATGCATGTCTTTGAGCATTAGTATTTGGGCTAGGAGGAATACAGCTATTTTGTTTTTTGTCCCAAGAGACATCAAGTTAGTCAGACATCCTTTTCAAACATTCAGTAGCAACACAATAAACATACTGCACACAGCAGATTTTCAAAGACTTCTATAACATTTTAAAACCCAGTGAGGATTAACGGTAATGACTGAGGCTTTTTGCTCTTGCAAGGAAGATGACTGAAAATTAAATTGCTAATTGGAAGGAGGCAGGTGCATTGTAAAAGATGCAGCTAATCCATAGTATATGGGTAGGCCATAGAGAGTGACACTTTAGGAGATACCAAGAGGATAATAAATTAATTGATCACTGGTTATTTTGCTGTTACTAATGTTTTACAGGTATAACCATCTGCATGGCCTTGATTGAGAAATGTTTATTTGCTATAAAAAAAAAGTCAACTTCAAGCCTTGGCACTGAACACTGATTTCTTTCGTTTAAGAGGCCAAAAGTTAGAAAAAATATTCTTACCACTGCAAGAAATATCTACGACTTTCGGGTGCTTAGGAGATAAAGAAGTGTCCAATGCCATTCAATAGGCATCATCCCCTGCCCAAAGAGTCTTGGGGCCAATACATAAAAACAAACCAAAAAAGGGTCTCAAAACTTCACTGCTTTTAAATATACATTGGAAACATCATTAAAACTTAAAAAAATCTGAAAACAAAGTTATGTGGTATGACTGGAATCCTGGATTTAGAAGGGAAAGTTGAGTCTGAAATCAATTTGTTATTCCCATCAAGTATGGGAAAGGACACACCAAGCTAAGGTGGGGCATTCTGTTTCAATTTTTGACGGTCTTGAAGGACAGTGATTCTTGCACAGTTTTTGCAATCTTGGTTTACCAAATTTTGTTAAATCATCTTGGAAGATTTCAGCACAGTGCCACGTGGGTTCTGTGTGACTGAAGGTGACACCTCCCTCTCATGGATTTTCTACAGACAACTGTGTTCACGTGACACTGGCAGCACAGAATATATGCAGTGTTACTGACACAGCCAACACTGAGAAATACTGGAAATGAAAGTCCTCAAAATCTTTCCACAGGAAATTTCCAAGATGAAACCTAAACAGAGTGGAAGTCCTGACCAAAGTAAGTCCCATTTAAGTTTCACTTAGATTTCTTCCATCCAAGGATACAGTGGGCATGCTCTCCACAAATACATCACAAATACAAGAAAAAATATGGCAATCCAGATAAGCAAAACAAAGAGGGAGAACAAGAAGGCCTAGGCCCCTGTTTTCTGAAGTTTAGGAGGACTTTATGCCCATTACTGTTTAATACATTCTCAGCTGTTGATCTGGGTCCATATCTGGCACATATGCATTGAACATATATGAAAAGAGAAAAACTGCACAATCTCCTTTCTAAAAATTACCCATTTAGGTAATAACATGCACCTACATCATTTATGCATGAAATTTCACAATGGGGCTCATATGAAAAAAGGGAGCATTTGCAGAAAGGGACAACTGAGTAGTTGTCTACTGCACAGGAGAAAAAGATCTCCATTTCATTGGCTTGGCACATTGCCAAGAATAGTATATTGTGAAAGTGTTCACCTTTATGACCGTCTTCATAATTCTAATATAAAGTGACACTCTGCTGTATGTAGGTCACTGAACAATGCCAGAGCTAGAGTAATATTAATCAAAGTCAAGACTGGCCAAGCCCTTTGTAGTCGCTTTCAGCTATGTTGCTCACTTACCACTGTCTCTGTCCTACCAGAACCTATGATCTTACTACACTTGTTCCCTTCTTTCTCAAATCAGGAATCAGTACTGAAAATATTCTCAACTCAACTAGAAAGCCAAACCTTCTGTGAAGCTGTACCCTGGACTATTTCCAGTTTCAATTTAGATTTGTAGATTCATTGTTTTGCCTTTGATTTTCCTTGACCTGAACTGCTTACCAAAACCCTCCCCTAAATCTTGAATATTTCAGTGAAGTGGCACATAAATCTGAGACAATCTTGTCTGGGGTTTATTTTTATGAAATAAAATCCAGAATAAAATAAAAGTGGCAGAACCCGTCCCCATTTTTTACCTATGTCTTTCCACAGCGGAAATCCTCTGTGTACCAAATTCAAGCTCATGCTTTTATAGTTAGATAAGGGTAAAATAGAAAAATCTTTGCTGGAAAATAAACACTTGACAACTTTGAAGGGAAAATTATTAGTGTTATGTGACTAAAGCATGCAGTTTTTAAGAAATGCCTATCATGTTTGGAATAGCTCTTCATGAGCTCAAACAATAAATATTAGTAATTCAGAATGAAACTATTAAAGCAGGGACAATTTCTTGCTGCAAAAACAAGCTCTTCACATGTTTAGGTTTTGTATTCAGGAGAGTATCACTCTAATAAATAATTTTAGAACCCACTGATGATCCTGTAAAGACATCCCTCATTAGTTGAAGCACTAACCAGATTACAATCCTCTTGCATGCCATAAATCCGCTGTGGGCACTCAGCTCTCTCCAGTAACATTTTGACCAGTTCTCGTGAGTGGTTCATGTGGAGCTCAGTGTTGTCAGCTGAAAGAACGCGTAAAACTTCCATCAGATAACCTCGGCTGGGAGCATAGCTGACATCCTGCCCATGCTCTTCCCCAGGCTGTCCTTCAGCAATGAGCACGCTGAATATGAGAGCAGAACATACCACCCCAAGAGCTGGATGCTTGGTCAGAAAACACATCTCCTCTTCCTGCAGTGCGTGATCTGCACTGAATGTTGGATTGTTGTTTGCACTTCACAGCTTAAACTTGAAACCTGAGGAATCTGAATGGTAAAGGGGAAAAAAACCCCAACCCTTTAATTAGTGTGAATGCAATATGTTTGAAAGGATTTATTAATTGGTCAGCTAAGCTGATTTGCAGTGACAAGCTGTTTTTGAACAACAGGGAGCCTGTAAGGGCTTTAGAGCCCAGAACAGCAGGAAACTAAGACAACCATGGCCTTAAAACTTCTGTAGAATTACCAACAAGAGGTTGACTCAAAGTGCCCTTCCCTCCTTATAAAAGTAAAGTGTACGGTTTTCATTTCAGTGTTACGTTGCATTCACTAATAATCCTCTTCAGTAAGAACAGGAAAATACTATAGCTTTCACTTTAATTCCATTATGAAACAAGCTTTTAGTAGCAAAAATAGCTGTAAATAAAGATTACTAGCGTAATTATGATATGAATGTGCACTAATTACGTTACATGGCAATGATATAGGACATGTTTTATTTTCAAAACAGTTTTCCATCATTACTGAACTCCAGCTATACAACACAAAACAAGAATGAACAGGATGTACTTGAAAATTAATGACATTTCATGATCAGATAAAAGAGTTACGAAATTGAGGTCATAATTTCATTCATAGATCCCAGTGAATAAACAAGACAAACACACCAGAAGCAACAAGTTAAATTTGTTAACTTTAGATGTAAATAACATTTTGTACTGTAAATCTGTCTTGTCACTATCCTTTCTACTATACCAGTGCCTCTGCTTTAATAATAATCTATCTCAATATCAAAGTGCAAGAAACATAAAAGTTTCACTTCTATTTTCCACAAAGAGGTTTTCATTTTATTGAAAGGCAGATGCTGGCAGTGACATATATTTTCAGATGATAATGCACATACATTAAACAGCCACACATCAGTTCAGCTTCTTTAAAAGCAATATAATACGTGTATGTCTTATTTTAAAGGAAACCCTACTAACTATCTAAAATGAAAAAGGAAAAACCTGCTGAATTCAAATTGACATTCACTTAGATAAAGTTTAGTATGCTTTTAGATGTTAAGAAATCTTTTGGTGTTTAGATATATTTTACTGTTAGAAGTTAGGAATATGTATCACTGTTACAAGGATGCACTTCTAAACATTATTTTCTTACCTTCTGAAGGGAAAAAGAATGCCTGTGCATCTAGTTTTGTGGCCTTCTGAATCCTCAGAAGTATTTAGCTGATGGAAGTCCAATGTTTTTAAAATTCCTTGATGGTGCTCTGGAAGCTGGAGAGGATTAGCTTATTGCTGCCTTGAAAAGTTTTCAGTTGCTATGGAGAGAGCTGCTCTTAAGGTAACAATGGAGGTGGATAGGAATTAGTACATGTTCTTCTTGGCAAGTACTAAACATCACGTAATTGAATACATTTCACATATTTTAACAGTTATCATTTTATGTAAACAGTCTCTATTTTAGCAGCGCAAGATGTATAAAATCTATTGAAGAATGTATTTCATTACAATGGATAATACATGCAAGCACTCTAACTGTTCTCTACATTACTACATTATCTGATCAATTCCACAATGAAGCTCGATTTCTCTTCTTCATCAGAAGATTACTTCTTTTTGCAAATACAAGTACAAAATAGAAATAGAAATCCTTTCAAACACCTCCATGGAAAAATGGTATTTTACTTTTGGAAACACTGTCCACAAAGAACAGGCTCTTTCATCCCCACTTATTCTGTGCCACATTTGCACCAATTAAAAAAGCTGGGATAGCTCAGACTGTGGTGAAAAAAAAATTTCTTCCACCCACTCAGTTTTTCCAGAGGGATGCTGTTACAAAGTCGACATTTACATCACCATGCCATTACAATATTACTGCCCTGGAAGTTAGTAAAAACTGTCATGACTGACAGATTTCCACAGTGACATGTACACCAGACATATCATTCTCCCACCCTCCAGACCTTCAGTGCGGTAATGAAGAATTAGCATTTCAGTTGGCTCAACAAATTCTGTGAAGTGGTAAGCCTGTAGTAATAAAAACGTCATAATTCTCTTTAAAGCTAGATTGATAAAACTGGGTTCTAAAACACCAGTGAAGTTTCCTATAAGGTGGTGAGCTCAAAGGGGACAGCCTTGTTTTAGTAAGGCTGAGAACTGGCAACTGATACTGACTATAAAAAAAATTAAACTGACAACACCAGCTTGAGGAAAGCGCAAAATGAAAACAAATGTTCTCAAAAATACAAAGTACAAGCACATGGAAGTATGTAAAAACTCTTGTGTTATCAAGGCTGAGCATTTTAAAAATCAGTCCTACTATTCAAGTACAAAAAAACCCCTTAGATTTGTATCAAATCATGCTTTAATTTTATTTCATAAATTACAAAAGATATTTATCAAACTAACATTGGCAAATATGCAGCTTTATGCAAACAAGAACTACAGAAATTTTCATCTCAAAAATTTATTTTTATATGAATGACTGTAAAACAGAAACACATGATAATACACATCTCCTCTAGCTTTTACATAATTTGCTTTGAGAAACAAAGCTAACTATGTCCAGATTTGTTCCACTAATAAAAATAATTCCTCAGATAATGACAGAATAGCTTCCAACATTTAATTCCAGGGATTGCTCAATCTCCAAATAAACATAAATAGGTTTATCTGTATATAATTTGGTGTTTTGTATATAATTACAAATTGAAACTAAGAATTAATTCTATCCAATTAAAGTGTACAGAGGGTGAATTGTTTCAATTTATTGAGAGAAGCTAACAGTTTAAAACATTTGATGATTTATAACTATTGAAAGCTGCTGGGAGAAGATTTACATAATAATACCAGCTATATCTTACATTAACATTTATATTACAGAGTGAGGTTAAAAAGGGAAATGTTCAGTGTATTAAAAAGTAACAGAAAATAATTGGTATGGGGTGCTATGGCTGATTTCAAAGGAGAATTCATTTCCCTTTAAGACCAAGGGTTGCAAACCTTCTCTGGCTTGTAAATGATTTTCTCATTGCTGGCAAAATCACTGATGGTGACTCAAGCCTCAATCTCTGATTTTAGCTCTGACACCAGAGTACTTTCCTGTGCTTTCAGTCATGCCACTAGCATCAGAGAATATCTCTGTCTACCCAGCACTCAGATTTCTTTTGAAGTAATTGCTAGCATCAACTGCAAATGTCCTTTTTTCAAATTCTTCTGTTATTATTCTCCTACTACCTACCCATCTTGATGCTGTGTCAACTGACAAAATGGGACAGTGATAATAACAAAGCTGTGTAGTTAGATGCCTATTAGAATCTTGCTGAGATACACATTCAGAAAAAAATCACTGGTACTGTGTAATGTCTTAAAAACTCCTGAAGCACCTATCACTATTATTGTTCTCTCATGTTATAACTTTGCCATTTCGGCTCAAATTCGATTGCATGTCTTGTGGTGATTTTTAATAAATGGGAAAAAGAAGTCCATGCACAATGCTCACAAGCCAGTAAGATACTCTGCTTACTGTAGAATGACAATATGCATGGAAGAAAGAGCCCTCAGAGGAACTAGAGAACAGAGGTAACTCAAACTGAAGTAGTTTACCATTCTAACGTTATGACAGACTGTACATAGCAAAACCAGAGGCATGATGAACTTACAAGAGAGTAACTGATTGCTGACAGGCATAGGTACATGTTCCAAGAAAATAAGTTCCAGAAAAAATAAGATAAAGAGAAGATTGATAAATATGGGAACTTCTCAAAACTCTTATTTTCATTTCATGATTGGATTCATGATCTCAGACAACTGCATATCAAATTTTCTCCACACACAAATGAAATCTTTTATGACTTAGAAAGCTCACATAGTAATATCCTAACTTCCATTCTTAGTGAATAGGAGTGAAGGGAATTTCCAACATCATAAGCACATGCAGCAAGCCCTCTTTGGTTACAGGATTTTTATTTATTTCTTTGGATTTAATTTTAGGTGAACCAGTCAGACCTATTGAGGCTTATCTTGTTGTTTCTCTCACCTACGCACCTGCTGCGAGAACAAAAGCAAGCTGCCCATTCACAAATGCCATGAATAACTGCACTCTGCAATTTACTGGTTTTCAAAGGATTGGTGAATAAATTGTGTAGGAATAGGAAAACTCTTTAGAGAACTCATTCTGAAATGACAAGGACATTCCTGTGAGCTCTACCAACCTGACAATTGGCTTAATTTTATTTGTACAGCAGAATGGGAAGAGGATGTAGGCATCATTTTAACAGGACCCCTACTGAACTTCACAGCTTACTGTGAAATGCAACTATATAACTCTTATTCCTTAAATACTGTATAACTTGTTTTGATGGACTAAGAAAAGGTCTTTTTTGCCCTTTTACTAATCGCAGCAATTACAGCAAATAGAAGAGAATCCTGTGGTACTGCAAATTTCCTCCATGTTATTAATGTGATGTATGCACATTGCTATAATTACAGCCATAGGTAGCATATTGACATATGAAAGGACTGCACTCTGCATGCAATTTGTGTAGAATTTCAATATATAAAGCATCTTTGCCAATGAATTAATGCCAGAGCGCTGAAATAAAAAAAGTCAGTTCTTTAAAATTACCACACTCTATTCAGCTTCATTTGCCTCACATGTCAATTCTAACAATAACACATATATTAAGATTGCCAATGAATTAAAATAAATGAATGCTATTGAAATTATCTGAGTTACATATATTAACATAGAGTTACATATATTAATATATGTCTCTGGAACAAGCCTTGTATTAGTTCAGAATTACAAAATTCATCAGTTAGTCAGCAGAAAGTTTACTAAGACATGGAAATATAGTTACATTAAAATAGAACAGGAAGAACTCATGGATTAATTCCACTCTATGCCAGCAAAACCTCTTATGTTTGGAGAAATGTACCTTCAAAAATGCTTTTTCACATATTACAGAATTAATCTGTGACATTTATTGTCCTAATGTATCCCTGGCACGAAAACTTATATGGGTTAACAAAGTGTTCATTTATATGGGAAATGTGATCTAAAACCTCATTAACTGCTGCCATCTTACTACAGACTTCTCCCTCACACAATTTCTCCACTGCTGACTATCTGGCTGTGTTTCCAAAAACAAAAAAATTGGGATGTAGGCACAACCATCAAGACTATTCATCAGTAACATTAATTATAATCAAGAACCTAGTCACAGTAGGAGATATGAGTACCTTTGACAAGAAAAAGAGAGGGCTTCAGAAGAATGTATATGAATTTGCTCATTTTAATGTTAAAAAACATGGGGAAAAAGTGTTCTTGTGTTCATCCTTAGGAACTTTAGCAGCCTAACTTTACTGAAGGTATCTAAACATTATAGTTATTAGGCCATGGAGTGAGTTTCAGCTCTCTCATGTCCTTTTACACTAAATAGATGAAGAAACCAGTTACTAAGCTTTTCAGTGGCTATTGTTTGGTTATGTCTCGGAGTGTTATCAGACTCTATTATGTAGATTGTTTCTGCTCCTTTAGGTTTCCAAAGACACTGAACTCAAAAAACATGAGCTGATTTTACTAACAGTGTCTCATCAAGTTGAAAGCATTTATGCTCCAATTGCTTATATTAAACTATGAATTTAAACATCCCAGATTAAATATTATATAGTATTACAGCATAGAACACCAAGTAAAATTTTAATGGGAAAAAACCCAAGATTTTTCAAATTGGAAAATAACCTTTTGACAGTTTGCTATTCACTTTGTAGGAAACTGACTGATGTATTATATGTCACTTCTTTGGCCGTTGACTTCTGACCCCGACATATTGGCATGTTCCTTTCCTGTTGGAAAGTCATCATCCTATGCTTGAAAACTGCTCAAAAGTCCCTTTATATAATTTGTCTTACTTCATAAAATATTTATAAATCATTTTTGATATTAAAGAAATTAAGATACCAAGTGTTTACTCATATTACCTTTTGTTTTACAAACTATGACTCAGTGTTCATTTCTAAAGAAATTCTCTGCACAACAGGGAAGAGTCATTGCAAGCAAACACCATGGAAATTGTTGCCTGAGAGAAGAATGATGTTTCTCAAGGCCTTCTAGTCTACCTAAAAACAGGAAAAATATAAGTTTCTGATCATGAATACAAGCTAGGGTGAAGAGAGGGAAGACAGTTTCTTTCCCTCTCTTCATCTTAAATTCAGGAAGTTTGTAGGTGGCAGCAATACCAACAATAGCCTACAGAACAGTTGAGTGATTAGATGGGCTTCAAGTAACAAATACTGAAGCAATAAAGGTGAAGAGAAAAAAGGAAAATCTTAGAATGGA